TGGAATTATTTGTTTCTTGTATATTTAAAAAAAATTTTATGCGCGCTGTAACGCACCAAAATTTGTAATGTGTGGTCCGCCCACAATTTTAATGTTGAATTTTCAACACTGATTTCACTAATTAAAAATTACTATACTAATATAATAACAAAGTGTTAGTGCTCACTGCAAAAAATCAAATTCCCGAACTTTGCTTAGAAGACAAAATACACCTATCATTTATTGGATAATCTCAAATTATGTCGCATAATAAAGGTAACTAGAAATGTTTGTTCAAGACCTGTTATATATGTCTTTTAAATTCCTTAATTTTTGCGCTTAGATATTACTTTTTAGTTCACCTATATGCGGATATTCAAATTTTTCAATAGCAAGTAATGCTTCATGTATCTTGAACTTAGGAGTTAACCAGTGAAGAGTTACACCAATGTATCTGTTGTTGCTTCGGGCTGTCCATAAATTGGTAGTTATGGATGCTGTTTCACAAGTATTGGAAAGTAGTTTTTTAAGTTCATTTATACCTTTACTATAAGCAATATCTATCTCTTTTTTAATATGCTTGTTACTTTGTGGTATAAATGCAGGATCGATTCGGTTTATCATTTTTCGGTACCCTTTTCCATATACAACATTAAATAGTAAAGAATCTGTGACTAACCATTCAGCAGTAACTCTTCTTAGTTCCGATTGTTTAAGCTTATTATGTGAAGTTACTGTTTTAAACATTTTAGTTATACTTAATTGCTTTTCATTCGACTTAGATTGTAATTCATCTGGACTAAAGATTTCATGCACGGTTCATAGGTGTGTTTTCATATTTCCTGTTTCTCCATCATGCTTATAAGTTTTGCTACATTTTGTTTCTTCACCTTTTCGAAGCACAATTATTTTACAAATATCTTGACCATTTATTTCTTCAAAGTATTTTCAAACATAACTTGGCTTTTTACTTGGATTAACAATATTAACACGAATTTTCTTTGCACTCGGTTCTTCTATAGATTCTTCTCTAGTGGTAGATAATTCGACATCAGAAAGATGTTCAATCTCAAGAGGTCCAAGATCAGAGGTATATTCAATTTCAGAGGTATATGTACTACAGTTATCGATATCTATATCCATTTCGAATACTAATTTGAAGTTCAGGGTCAATGAATAAAATTTTATTCAGTTAGTAAACAGGCAAGTATTTAATTAATTTGGTCTAATCGTGTTTTAGAAAAGAGGTCATACCAAAGAACGGTTATTTATATACGTTTCATTGCTTTAAAAATTAGGTTTGTTGATTAGATCTTGTTTAAAATCATCAATCTAATGAAAAGTGTGATACCGATTATTGATGCATTTCAAGAAATCGTACGTTTGATGCATTTCAAAAAAATCATACAAAAGTAAATCGGATAGTAGCGAAATCGAACAATATTATTTAATGTATCCTATACTATATAGTTGATTTTTTATATTTAGTTATTATTCTATATATGGTTATAATTTATTACTTAGCCATTCTATATTTGTCAAGATCGAATTTAGTAACGCTCTAAAGATCAAGCCAATTAGCCTAAAATAGAAATTTATTTTACTTATACTAAGCTTGTCTCAAATAAGTAAATCATATATTTAAAACTAACAGTCAGCATAAGACATAACGATATAACGATTATTGATAAAAAAGCGCATGTCAGGGAAGTAGCAAGAAATGGAAATGTAATTCAGGTTACAGCAGAAAGATCTAAGCCCTTTCCAAAAATTTAAATCAACCGGGTTGATGCGAGAAGCATAATTGTTTGAAGATATGGTAAGATCGCAGTAAAAATTTATTATATGTATTCAATTACTTTTACTAAATAACAATGTATTTTATTAATATTTGTTTTTGTTATAAACAAGTACAGTCAACTCTGTCTATACCGAACCCTAGAGTCTGGCCCCCCAAAAAAAGTTCGTTATAAGAATTACTATGTTTTCTTAAGAGCTATAGCTCTTGTTATACCGAACTAATATTAAAATTTAGAAATTTTGAGTTCGTTATATCCAGAGTTCGTTATAAAAGGGTTCGTTATATCCAGAGTTGACTGTACATGAAAGATTTAGAATACATGAAATATTGAGTGAAAAAATTATTTTTAATTAAATTACATAACCTTTATCATTCATTTTAATAATTATAGAGAACGAAAAAACTTTGTATCAAGAAATTTATAAATTAATAAATATACAGAGTGTGGTGACTTAGAGTAGTGGTTAAGTTGTCATCCCCCAAGCAGCAGGTCTAGAGTTCGAATCCTACCGGAGACGATTTTAGAAAAATAGGCCTGTGTTCTGATAACAATTATTCGACGATCGGTTGGGTATATTACCTGTAATTTTGGTACTACCATCTCGAAATAGAAGCTCTTGGGTGATCCAAATCCAAGAAACTGGAATAATTGAAACCTGTTTGGCAAGACCTGAGTAAGGAAGTAGTGAAGATCTTCGACGATACTGCGGAAAGTCAGAAACCGGAGCAAATATGAAAAAAGCCATAAGACTTTTGAATGGAGTAGAATGCTTACCCTGTGCTGCGCATACACTCCAACTTTCAGTTATTCAGGCTCTAAAATTTATAAATCCATATATCACCAAAATTCGCAAACTCATCAAATTTTTTCAGTCACTAAAGCAAAGTCAGTGCCTTAACCAGGCGCAAATTGACTTAGCACATCGTGATAAAACCAATAAACAATCTACTATTCAAATTTTTGAACCTGAAAATACTTGTGAAAGCCTGCCTGAAATAGATGAAAATAATGAGTTAGAAATAAATAAAGAGTCACAGCATCTTTTGTGCACTATCGAAGATACAAAAACTCGTTGGAATTCTACTTATCAGTCTTGGCAAAGGCTCTTAGCATTACGTCCGGCAATTAAATTGCTTGCTGCAACATTACATCTACAAAGTGAAGATGGTGCAAAGAAAGACTCCGCCAAATTGAAAATTTATATGCTTAAAAACGATGATTGGAAGTTTTTGATAAACTTAGTAGAAGCATTTAAACCATTTGATGAATTGACAACCTACTTTAGTGGAATTAAATATACAACACTTTCGGTTGTCAATCCGAGTATTGAAGTCCTAAAATTTGAATTCGCTGACGATTCTATAATAGATCCAGACGATTTTGAAGAAATTGTTAATTTTGACGAAGGTAAATAGATATATTATCTTAAATTCATTTTACTTAAAATTTTAAGTTACAAACAACTAATTTTTTTTTTTAAAAAAAAAAATAATAATAAAAATAAATAAGACGATGTATTTTTAGACGATGAAGATTTTACTAAAAATGAAAAAACATTCTCACCTAGTCATATTGTTTCGAAGCTTCGTGGAATTATCTATAATTCCCTTTGGCATTATTGGTATGATTCGGAGGATATTAAATTAATTTTTACCTTACTGGATCCATGATTGAAATTAATGGAACTATAGGAAAATGAAATACGAGATCAAACAATTAATAAATTATATGATGAATTTAAGAACTGGAAAAATACGATTGAAGCAGAAGGGACAAAAGATCATAATAAAGAAACTGGCGCTATATCTACTCCTCGTTTTATAAAAAAGGTGTTTGGTAGCAGCAGTTATACTAGTCAAAGTAAGAAAGTTATCAAAACTGAAATTGAAAACTATCTAAATGTAGAAATGTTATTTGAGACTGCAGATGTTTATGATTGGTGGCATAAAAATAAGGATCGTTTTCCTATTTTGCATAGAATAGCACGCAAATACCTATCAATACCTTCCACTTCTGTTCCAAGCGAATGGCTTTTCTCTGACGCAGGGAATCTTATCACTTCTAAAAGAGTTCGTTTGTCACCTGAAATAGTTAACAAATTATTATTTGTAAAACGAAACAACCCTTATTGTACTATGTGGTCCTAAATACGTATAATATTCTTATACATACGTACGTACGTACATTGATTCAATTCTTCCTTTTTTAACTTGTATTATTTTATAAAAAAAATATTATTTTTTAATAAAATTTGATTTTATAAATTAACAAAAAAAATCACAAGCACATAATTTGAACTCTGCTGTGATTCTACTAAACTACGGGTTATAGAACACCACATAATCTGCTAATATAAATCAATAAATTAAATACATACAGTAACGCCTCCATAGGTACACGCTTGGGACTAAGCTTTAATAATGTGCACTTAGGGAACAATAATAGAAAGCGCATTTATGAAATGTTGGGCTAAAATTTGAAATTTTGGTTAATACTGTAAATTGACATATACAAGACCCGGGTCTCTTACATTCCACCAATTTTAAAACATATAATAAACCCTGGGTCTAGTATACAGCCAAGAGTTCATATTATTAAGTGAAAACTTTAAAGAGTATGCAAGTTTTGCATTTATAATAGGGCAGTCCAGATATTTGAAACAACCTGCAATTTGTACTCGCGTATATACGGCGATTCACAGTAATAAGTAATTTATTCGCATATCAAATTCAATTGGTTAATGATCACGTTTTAACTGACGTAAATTAGCCAATCATATGAAAATCATCTATGAATCTCATGGGTTAGCCCATAGGTGACCTGTATGTTGATCCACCTGTGTCTACCTGGTTTGTTAAAACTTGACCCGGGTGATCCGCCCACCCGCGGGTGACCCAGGTGGTACTTACTCAGGTCCAATCACTATGCTAGCATTATTGAGTTGGATATGGAGATCGCTGAAATGGAAATCATATGACAACTCTAAAAATCTTATAATAAACGAAGGGTCGTATATATGCGAGGTTTTAGCTCTGTTGGTAAATATCATAATAAATGATTTGCCTGTAAGCACTAATATATAGGGGATATGATAAGATTTAGTTTTATATTTACTATATTATGTGTGAGATTGAAAATACTAAATTTTTTTAAATTAAAGGGAGCCTGGCAAGTGCAAAGCAAAAAGGATTATTAAAAAGCGCTTGTTGACCTAATTATATGGTTGTTGCTGACATAAAAAATAAGTCTATTGAGATCGGATACCTTGAAACTGATAGATCTAATTCTCCTCTAAAAAAACAACTTAGCAACTATAATAAACTAAACAGGCTCGCAAAAGATTCAATAGATGAAACATGGTTGGCCAAAAATGATAGGTTCTTTAGAAGAACAGAGATAAAAAAGATGTTAATAATATTTACCATTAATGTAGTTGGAAGTGTGCTGAAAATTCAAAGCATACACAGAAAAGGGAGTATATATAGAAGCTGTTTACTTAATCAGGTAAAACTATCCTTATATCTCCCGTCTATCGAACTTAAAGATGTTTATAACCTCATTCATATATTGTTAAGTTTCAGAACAGCAATTGCGTGCACTCTGTGAAATTTATTATATAACACTGATAATTTAGCAGAAATGATGCTGATGGATATGTCAATATTAGATATATCAGTATTATCACAAACTTTAACACCAACAGCTAGTTCCCCATCACAGCCTTCCAACACTATCAACATCAATGCATATACCAAAGATCAACCAGAAAGTTAAACAGTTTAAAAAATCCAAAAACTAATAGTTTATATCTTGATTTTTTATATTATAAAACTGATTCTGGTGGCTGTTTTTGAATACATAATTAGTTTATACTTGCATATATATTTTGTGAATTTATTTAATTGTATTTACATAACTATTATGGGTTAATCAGTAACCCCAGAATTTCGTGATGCTGGATACAATTAGAATCAGAATTTACATTAGTAGTGTAATTCAGATTTGTATTACCATACAATGCTGCATATAGTACTCTAGCTATTTTATAAAAAAGCTGATCTAGATTGAATAATACTCCCAAATATCAAGAGATGGAAGGATAACACAAATAATCATTAATGATCACTATATACTTTATTATTAAATATATCAAACCAAATGAAAAGATTGCACTATTAATATAAAAACTGGACCACAAATCGCTTGTAAAAAAAAAGTAAATACTATTCCAGGGGTACTATAATTAATAGTCTAATTTAGTGATAGTCTAATGTGTGTATCCTGAATAAACATCTATTTGGAGATAATCTTGTATTTAATATGAAATAAAGCAATAAGTTTTTAGTTTTAGCTTAGTCAATAAAGAGACACTTGTGCTATAAATTGTGTATTTAGTAGTATTTCTAGTGGTGGCAATATCTGAATAATATGTCAGTTAATGTTAGTAGCCAAGCAAATAGAATTAACCTCCAAAACCTGACTATTATATAATAAATCAGTGAACACTGTAACATAAAAAACCTGAGTAAAATGCAGTCTTGCTCACTGTAATATGTTAGAAGTTGTTGAAATTTTGTTAAGTGCAAGGTCAGAAAGATTTTACTGGCTGTGATTAGTAACTTTGAAGTATCTTGGTAGCAAGAGACATTATTAAATAGAATTGGAGTTTAAAAAGAATGAAACATGAAAATTATTTAGTAACATTGATAAAAAGCATTGTGGAAACAATAGTTAAAGAGGTACAGAACCTGAGAATGTTTCAGAGGAAACAACGAAAATGTAGGTCACATTTGTATTATGTGTTTCATCATAAAAGACACTTGGCTCATTCATATTCTTTAGTAAATCAAGTTTAAAACCCTTGCTCGAATATTAAGTGCATAAAAGTATGTTATGTAGAATTTAGTGATAAGGGCTATAGAAATTTGAAATGTAATAGAGAAGGAAGATGGAATGAAAAGTTAATAATAGTATTATGATAGAAAAGTTGATAAAGATAAATAGAAAACAGCAAAAGCATTAATTAGAACAAGTTCATATATAAATCTGATAAGCATAAATTATATGAAAAAGAAAGTGCTTATCTGGAGATGTTGAATAAGTGATTAATCTTTAGTTAGGTAGACAATAAAGTTCTCAGATGTATTTTTGGTGTTGAAGTTAATGTTGATGATGTTAAAGTAGTTTAAAAGCTTTATATAAGCATGGGTTGTTTTGTAATATCATTTTTGAAATGCTGTAGATTATAAAATCTAGATGTAATATTCAATAGAAAATAGTCAGTACTACTATACAACTAGATTAGATCTCAAAAAGGTGACATTTATAATTTCAAAAGAATCTACAATAAATAAAAATGTTGTGGATAAAGATTATATGACAAAGAATTGTGATGAAAAGAAAATTAAATTTGTAGATATTAGGTGCATAGAAAGTAAATTGATAGAAAATAGTGATGTTGTGAAGAGAAAAAAAATTAGAATATTAATAAATTAAATAAAAGGAAATTAAGCATAAAGAATATAAATTTAGAAGACAAACCTGAAACTGATGAACAGAATAATCTTGGATTCTGTCATGGAAATGGAATTGAAAACAAAAAGAATAAACAGCATACATTCATTTATTATTAAGAATCTGCTAATATGAGTAATGCTGAAGCATGTATCATTGGACATCATTATCAAAATGAGATTGATGTAAAAAGGAATGAGTAGTATTCAAAATCAGATTAAAAATCCTGATTAATTCAGAATTGATCTGAATCTGATCTGAATCTAAAATTTAGATTAATCCATAAGTGATCCATGCCAATCTGATAGTTAAGTTGAAATTTGGTACATAAATTATATTACAATGTATGTAATAAATTCGAATATATCACTTAAATTGTGATACAAATCATAATATATTCAAATTTATTATATGACAAATTCAATTTTATTATACATAGTGATTATATAAAGAAAAGACCTAAAATTAGGCTCAATCTCACTCAATCTGGCCCAATCCAAATTTTTTGGGACAAAATTAATTCAATAGTTAGAATCTGACAAAATTTAAATCTGATTCAATTTAACTTTTTTGAATACTAGAAATGAGCATAAGACATTCATTCATTATTAAAAATCTGAAGATATAGGTAACATTGATGAAATATATATTGTTGAATATTGTTTTCAAAATAAAAATAATAGTAAGAAAGATGAATCTAGTAAGACAAAATCTTATAGGATAGGCATTGAAAAGGACAGATATAATGTGTTCAATTATTATCAAAAATTCAATAAGACAGATCATGTTAGTAGAATATATAACCTTAAATATTGACTTCGAAATAAAACTAAAGCTGCAAAAGCTATTAATGAAAATAAGATATTTAAATGAGATTTAAAATTTGTTGAAAATGATAATACTTATATACTATATAAGTTTAGATAATACTATAAAAATAGTATCAGAATTTTCAAAGATAAAAATAAAGCATTAGAGTGGTATTTGAAAGGTATTAAGACCATTAGCTTAAATAGAAAAAATAACACATAATTTTTTTTTTTTTTAGCAATTTTGTTTACTTTATTATAAAAACAGATTTTCATTCCTATACAGCATAAGAAATCTAAATCTATAAGTGTTCTAACCAAAATGTAAACTCACCCATAGTATACCTTACAGATGCTATAACATCCACTTGCAGTCAAGACGAACTATTAAACTGCTGTGTTTTGCTCAGGTGTGACCTGCCTAGCAAACAATTGGTCTTCTTCAGAGATCTGAAACTCACTCTGGACTTATTTTTCCAAAATTTCTTAGCTGGTTGTTGCACTGCCCTGTCAAGATTTCTGCTATACAATAGAATACCACCAAACTGATGACACTTTCTTATAGAGAAAGAAAAAAGAAAAAAAAAGAGATTATAGAAAACAAAAAAAAAAGGAGTAAAAGATAAAACTAATACATCAAAGAAAACAGATACTAATACTAAAGAATATAAAAAAAAACTAAACTAAAGTTTAAAAAAAACTATTGCTAAAAAGAAGAAAACTTGCTAACCAGGCAAAAACTTTTAATTATACAAAGTTACAATCTACTATTAAGTGTGAGAGTCTTGACAAAAAATTTAAAACTAAAATAAAATGTACTATAACTCATATCAGAGTCTAAAATTATATACAGGTAACTTGAGAATATCTGTTTATCTCTTTTTACTTTGCTTTACTCTTTTAATTAAATCTATATCTTCATCTGAAAGTATAAGAATTTTGGAATCTCTATATACTCTATCTAATAATCATGTGTTTGTATGTCCTCAACAACATGACACATAAGGTATTTTTCCGAACACTCATCTAGTTACTAAATTCGCTAATACTGTCCATTTTATACATATTGTTTGTCATCATACAGAGTTTTCTGATATAAAAGTGAGAAATATTGCTAATCTTTTGGAGAGGGTATGCCGAATTTTTCACTTTTTGTTGAAAATTATGGCCAAAAGTATTGAAGAGAAAAATACTATATTTGTGAGAACTCAAGACTATGAAAGTATTTCCAGTTATTTTTCATAGAACTAAAAAGCTTTAGACACTTGAGTCAGAAGTTTTTTATCACTACTGTTATCAAAATAACTCTTTTGGCTTGGATGCTAAACATGCAAGGGAATCCATCAAAAAGAAAAGCTTGACTTAAAGCACAAACCAACTATATACACCTTGCTTCTCGGTGTTTCATGTATAAGTCTTCATTAATAACAATACTAATAAGGAACCTCAGGTATCTTTGAACTTTTTAGGACCTTGAATCTTCAAACTGTTTTAGTATAGTCTTGGTTCAAGTAATCATTAAAAAGAATATACCTACTGGTCAATAACTCGGAATATTTTAATATAGAAAATGCTGATAAAATAAATACTGTTTGGTGCTATTACCAATATAGAATTATAAATAAAAGAAATGAACAAAGGTATTTGTTTATAGTCAGAAATCAATAAATGCAAATCATGATAAAGAAACAACTGACCTTGGAAGTGAAGATCAAATGGTATAGAATGCTAAATTTGAAGATGATTTCTCAGATTAACAGTTATTGATAAGAACATTAAATAGTATAATAGTGGTAAACAATCACAAAAGGTGTCTTGTATAGTTATATAAAACAAATTGCCAATTGATCAAACAGTATGGTGTTATGATAATTATGGGTCAAAAGATAAATAGAAGTTATATTATGTTATATAATGATAAAAAAATTGATTTTCTTAAGCAATTTTTTACTTCTATAACCCAATAAAGGTCTATAATCGAATGCCAAGCTCTGTGGTTAAGTCTAAGTACAAGTATAAAACTAAAAAGGAAATTCTCAAAAGAAGGTCTAATCGTAAAATAGTGGTACTGTATATGACAGATTGTAGAAGATTCTATTATATGAAGATCATATATGTAAGTCCTTGATTAAGGATAACTGAAACAGCACCAATGATTGGAAGAATGATACAATAGTAACAAAACTGGGAAAAGTGGTGAATATAAAAATAACTTGTGATAAAGGATTGGTCCATCCAGAGTTTAGAAGCACCTCTAGCTTCAAGCCACTTGGCTTATTAAAAAGAAACCTATGAGGATAGAGTAAGAAGACAGAAACTTGGTATATATAATAAAAACTTGAAATAGCTAAATTTATCAGGCTGATAGCATAATAGTACAAATC